CTAAAGAGTCAATAATAGTATTATTCTTGAAATAAGGAAAACGATTAAGATAGTGAAGCACAGTCGATCCGGGATGTCCGAGACGATCATGTCATGGTGCTGAAGATGAAGTGGCAAGTAAAGCTGGAGTGGGTGGTGTGAAAGGGTACAAGTCTCCACTGCTATTGTGGCGGGAAAGCAGTTGCCCATCCTTGAGGTCCTTCAAAGAAAACCCAAAAGGGTCAAATTCAATTGAAACTTGGTTATCAATAGTGAATTTGCGAACATATATTAAATCTTTTATGACCTTAGGAGAATGAACAATTTGGTTTAGATGATAAGTTTTATTTGGTGTGTTGTAAAAGCCATTACCAGACCCATGAATAGGCAATAAGTCACCATTACCGACAAATATAGGGTTGACAGGTAAGAAACTTTGAACTTTAATTTTACCTGAATCTGAAGTGATGTGAGAAGACTTTCGGACACAGGTTGATCGATATCACCGAGTTGGGTGGCGATGTCTTTCAACTTTTGACAATATTCATCAAATGAGGAGAATGCTGATAGGGTTGAGTTGGTAAACTGTTGTTCTAAGGTTGCAGCTCTAGCATGTTTATTATTTAGAAAAATTTCTTGAATCTGAAGCCACGCCTTTAAAGAGGTTGTATCATCATCGAGAATGCGGTTAAGGATCTCATCAGAAACAGTACTATAAATCCACTGAAGAATGAGGGCATCAAGCTCTGCCCATGCGTCATAGGTCGGATCTTCTTTGGATGGCGGCTTTGTGCCATCAATGTGGTGGAGGATCTTGTAGATTTTGAGATGATTTCTGAACAATTTCACCCAATTTGAGTAGGGTGTTTTCTTCCCGTCGAGCGTACGGATCTTTAGGTGCACATTTGTCGCTGTGAATGCTGGATGAAGGGTTGATTTTTCAGTATTGGTGTTGGAAGAGGAAGATTTATATGGTGTTTCCACCATGGTGCCGCCGTGAATCGGAGGAGATAGATAGTATGGTTACAGAGGTGGTTAGAAAAAAATGGGATGTTCTTTGGCTCTGATACCATAAAGGATTTCATTATTGAATGAATTGTCGAGCAAGTCAAACAAACGGAACAAATAAATAATAATTCCTATCCTCTAAACAAGGAAAAGATAACAGCCAAAAGGGAAAATAATATTTATCCTAAAATAGCTGGAGCATATCTTCTAATAATTAAATGTGACTAACTGTCAATATTTTAGTCATATCTAAAAGGATAGAAACAAAAACATTCGACACAAATACCCTCTATTGTCATCCACGTTCTATAATTCTTCCACTTTCATTATATATTTTTATTTTTTCTACACTTCACCTCTTCTTTTTGGTAACATTATCCTCTTACTCATCTATTTTTATTTAATTTTTCACACACGAACTCCCATCCCATGAACCTAAATATAACTGGTTACGATTGTATGATAATTTTCAACATCCTATATTAAATCTTTCTTTGTATATATGTTTAAATCAATATTGAATAGCTCTTACTCATAACAATTGAGATACCCAAAAAGAAAATTCAATGCAGTAAATATAACTGACAGAATAAACCGGCCAAAAAGGTTTCATTATCGGCTTGGGTATTCATAATATCATCTCATGCAAATATACTTATAATACCAAAGATCAAACATAACTTTAAAAAATAACAATCAATATCCTATAATTGCTAACGATGGGTTTTCATAGTTTGAAAACAATTTATAATGTATCGTTGTTATTACTATCCAAGTATCTACAACACATATATTTTCAATGTATAAATTGATTATTCATCTTATTTCACAATTCTTTATCGATTTTACTATTAAAACTACACGCTCCATAGCAGATGTTGCAATAATCAATGCTAACTTTAGTATAACATATACCATTTGATATGTTGTATGATTGTATGTTTCAAGCATAACATTTGTCAAGTTACCAATTCTCTTCGTTATTAAACATTTTATCTCCGCATACACCCATAATAAAATGTTGAGATCTACTCTAAATGCTCTAAGGTCATGTTCTCATAACACGTTAAGATAAAATCTAGCGATTTTAAATAGTTTATCCATTTCGAATGCTTGAAAAGTCATACTTTGACACAAAGAACCAATGAACCATATAAAACAAAATAATATAGTATGTACTTCATTAAAATGATTGTTGAGCTACTGGAGGTGCATAATATCTATGATTGTACAAAAAATCTTTTTTGCGTGCAAGTTGTAAGTAGTTAACCGATCTTTCTAAAATTAGGCGTAATCAAGGACTTCTTTTATGACAAAACTACAAAAATGGTCATTGTGCTTAGCTGAAAATTATCACTTTGGTCCAAAAAGGTTTTGACTAGCTTTTCATTATGTTGCGAGTTTGGTTTAACTTGTTTTGAACTTTTTTATAATGACGATTTTGCCCTTATTTTTTTCTTTATGAGTTTTTTTTTAATTATCTTTTTGATTAAAATAAATAAAAAACAAAAGAAAATATATAAACAATTTCTGAAACCATACGTCCATCTCCAAATCATCATACATAACACTTGAAGCACCAAACATAAATCATTTTGCAGTTCCTACTTCCTCTCCTTTTCGGTTTTAGTTTCTCAAGATATGGGACCGAAAACCCTTTTCCCTTCGCCCAAATTAAACAATATTACAACTATGTTTCCTCTATATCTCTAAAGAATCAAACATTTTAGCTTCAGTCAAATGCTAAAACCCTAGTTCATTATGCGATTGGAGGTCACTTTTGAAGTGGGTGTTCAACTATCTATTGTTTTTTCATACGAAATTGAAGAACCAGATCAGATAAGAGTAGCGATTTGAAATATACAAACTTTTTTTATTTTGGGAAATTAAGATGATACAGGGAACAACGTCGTCAGACCTCCCCCGATTAAGACAAAGACGACAATGTCGGCGGGAAGGTAGGGTTTGCTGAGGAAGATGACGTTAGAGAAGTATAGAAACAAAGGTGGCAACGAGATAGGGTTTTCTGAGGAAGATGGCATCGGAACATCCCTTCTCCGAGTTTCGGATCAGAGCAACGATGGTTTCGAGTTGCTAGGGTTTGCAACAAAATCCTTATCGTCGGTGACGAACATATATGTCGCCACCCGTCGCCGTAAAAAAATCCTAATCAGTCGGTGGTGGTATTTACATATCTGGAGCAAGGGTTTGCACACAGTGGGGATCCGACAAGGATTTCTCACTCCTTCCCCAACCTCCATTATCTCTCTCACACTCTCTCTCACACACACACACACTCTCTCTCTCTCTCTCTCTCTCTCTCTCTTTCTCTCTTTCTCTCCCTCTTTCGTTGTTGATTGATGCTTGGTCAGATGGACACACACACACACTCTTTCTCTCTCTCTCTCACTCTCTCTCTCTCTCTCTCGTTGTTGATGCTTGGTCAGATGGACATATATGGAGAAAATGAATAAGACGAAGGGTGACGGCTAAATGGGTGACACCAACACGATGCTCTGGTGTTGGGTGTGGTTTTGGTGGTCGGACGACAATACTCCAACGAAAATGGTGGTGCTCTGGCTGCCAATGAAGATATATATATATATATATATATATATAGAGAGAGAGAGAGAGAGAGAGCTAATATGTTAAAAGTGAGAGGGTGGGTTGGATGGGTTAGTAGGAGGTGGGTTGAGGGTTGAATTTTATTTTTATATTTTTATTTGAATCAGAAAAACATTAAAATAATTTAAAAAATGAAAAAAAATAAAATAAAACATCAGGGGCAAAATCATCTTTATAAAAAATCAAAACAAGTTGGACTAAACTCACAATAAAATGAAAAGTGTCGACCTTTAGTGCTAATCAAAACTTTTTTAGACCAAAGTGACAATTTTCAGCTAACCACATTGACCATTTTTACAGTTTTGTCCATCTTTTAATCCCAAATAAAATGTGTTTGTGGAACATATCAAGGGACTTAACGTGGTCCTTAATGAGTACATACAAAGATAAAAGGAACTTATAGATATCTAACTTTAAAGGATCATATAAACATTTGTAATATAGGTATTTGAAATGATCATAAAATTTTATATTTTTCAAGTATTTTGGAAAAAATAATAGTCTTTTTGAAATATTTTTGTGGATATTGGTCCCAAATAATCACGTGATCATATTTTTAAAACGTGTAAGGTGTCAAGGGCACGAGAGTGTTCAAAGTAATCAAAAGACAAAACTTTAAAGTAAACATTACTTACATCTTAATTTACAAATTATAACAATGCATTTGGTCTTCACTAAGTCTTCTCAAACTGAATACATATCAAATATAATGTTAGACTTGAAAAGTTTAGTGAGTACTCCTAAAACTAGACTCTTAAAGAGTCTTGGATAACGGAAATACACAAATTCCAAAGCCAACATTCCTAAAGTCAGCTTTAAAACACCAAACACTTTCATTTGAAACAAGAATTACATAATAAATGTTATTATAGACGAAAAATGTGACAAAACATCACTACATCCCCATCTAATTATGATTTTTTTACTCTATTGAAACTTGATTTTGTTGAGGATGTTGTCATTCTATTGTAGAAAAGAACATGTGAGCTGTTTCTAGGGCAAGTAATGAAGATGGTTTATAAAACACATTCGGGGTGTATTTACTTGACATTCAGCTAAATGTCTTCACATAGACAACATATATTTCAATGGTGACCGATTTGTACGATAAAATCTTATAAAAGTTTTAAATGACAAAACCTACTCAAATGTTAAATATTAATGGACATATAATTCATTTTAAAGTAAAGCCATTAATTTATGAGAAATTTAAAAGATTTTATGGCAATATCACTTAATAATAGTATAAGACTTTTTTATTTTTTATTTTTATTTATTATTTTTTTTTTTTGAAAATAAGAGAAGTATGATGGGTGACAAAGTGGAGGCACACCCCAAGCAATGCGTTCCCGCCTATTTATGTAAAAGCGGTTCCTTGTGAAGAAACGCATACATTACCGTTTCGTTCTCGTTCCGACATCAATCCTCGTTCGCTCTCCCAAAATCTTCAAATCTCGAAGCTTTCTATCAACAATGGAGAATTTGATGATCCTTCTCCCGCTTATTCTTCTTCTTGCATCGCTTGCTTCGACGACGACTCTTACTTCAGACAACCCTAGTTTCCCATCAACTCAAGCGAAGAAGATGATCAGGGACTTTAATTTATCCCCAGAACGCGAGATCAACATTGTTGAGGATGATGGTGGTTTACGATTGTCGAGTGTCCAGCAGAATTCGATAGTCGAGAAACGATTTAAATTTCCAAAGTTTACCGATCCAAATGGCGCCTCTGTCGCTGATTTAGGTCATCATGCTGGTTACTACCAGATTAAACACTCCCATGCTGCGCGGTATGTTATCGAGATCTGTTGGGGGGTTAGGGCTATACATGAATAGGGGTATCCCACGCACACCAAGGCTTTGAGTTGGGAATCAAAGTCTTGGTATATAGTCTTCTCTTATTAGGCAATTACTTATCCCCAAACTTCGTATGGGGCTTATAGTTTGCATTTCCCATGGAAAAAATCCTATTTGCTTCGTTTAGCCTTGTCCCCCAGAGTTTTGCTATAGTATGTTTATGTGATTGTTAATAAATTTCTTAAAGAACGTTGCCAAACATAGAATACAAAGAGGCATTTTGCTTAAATATTTTTGTCAATATCAATTAAAGTTATTTGGGGAAAGAGAAGCCTTCTGTATGCCAAAGAAGACAGAAGGGGTGCTCCTAACACTGGTAAGGCTTTTGAATTGGCCTTTTAACTGCAAGACGTGATGGCAAATTGCTTGTTATTGTTTAGCTAAATCTGTTGCTATTATATTTGTCTTTTCTTTCTCATACATGCATAAGTTTTTCTTTCATCTGTTTCTACTTTCAAGAATGATGGAAAAGAGCTAGCCCTGTTCTTTTTGGCATCTAAGATCATAATTATGTTTTGTAGGATGTTTTACTTTTTCTTCGAATCGCGTGGTAAAAAAACAGACCCTGTTGTTATCTGGCTGACTGGAGGGCCAGGATGTAGTGGTGAGCTTGCACTTTTCTATGAAAATGGTCCTTTCAAGATCCAAAATGATTCTTCTCTGGTGTGGAATGAGTATGGATGGGATCAGGTGACAATGCTACCAATTTTGGATTTGTTTATTTGTATTGTTCTTTATTATGACTTATCAATCAATGATAAGTATTTGTTGACATTCAGGTATCCAACCTATTATATGTTGACCAACCTACTGGAACCGGCTTTAGTTACAGCACTGATGAACGAGACATTCGACACAATGAACAGGGTGTGAGTGATGACCTATACGACTTTTTACAGGTTCATTCACTTTCTTGCTCTTAATTCTATGAGATTATGCAACAAATTATTTTGTTAATTTTTTGGCATGATTCAGGCCTTCTTTAAAGAGCATCCTGAACTTGCAAAGAACGACTTCTTTATAACTGGAGAATCGTTTGCTGGTCATTACATTCCTGCTTTTGCTGCTCGAGTCGTCAAAGGAAACAAAGCTAAAGAAGGAATCCATATAAACTTAAAGGTATATATGTATCTCTTTTTTCTTAACACAAAAATGGGTTTGATTTTATTTATTTTTGTTATGCAGGGATTTGCCATTGGAAATGGACTCACTGATCCACTAGTTCAGTACCCGGCATACACTGATTATGCACTGGAAATGGGATTAATTAAGGAGTCTGAGTACAAAGACATCAACAAACATCTTCCATCTTGCGAAACAGCAATTGAACTTTGTGGTAATGTCTTGTCTTGTCTTGTCTGCATCATTCATTTTATATGAATCTTTTACTTCTTAAATTATTTTCTGTTTATTTCTTAGGTACTGATGGAACAGAGGCTTGCATGGCTGCATGCGAGGCATGCGACGCCATTTTTACTTCAATCAAATCCATTGCTGGAAATATCAATGTAAAGATTTTTGATTTCATTTTAGTTTCACTATTTGAATATGTTTGACTCTGGTGTGATATGTTGTGCAGCATTATGACATAAGAAAGGAGTGTGTGGGGAGTTTATGCTATGACTTTTCGGTGTTGAAGAATTTTCTTGATGAGAAATGTGTGAGGGAGGCTCTTGGAGTTGGAGATCTTGATTTTGTTGCTTGCAGTCCTGTTGTAAACCAGGCCCTGATTGTTGACTGGATGAGGAATCTTGAACCTGGTATCCCTCTTCTCCTTGCAGATGGGATTAGATTGTTGGTATATGCTGGAGAATATGACCTCATCTGCAATTGGCTCGGTTAGTTATTGAGTCCTATCAACTTCAAATCTCACATCTTTTATTGATTTAATTTGTGTATAAAATAAATAGGTAACTCAAGATGGGTTCATGCAATGGAATGGAGTGGTAAGAAAGAGTTTGGAGCATCTCCTGAACTTCCTTTTGAAGTTGATGGGTTTGAAGTTGGTTTATTTAAGACCCACGAACCACTCACTTTCCTCAAGGTTAGGTACCCTTTGCCAATTATTTTCTTTTAATATTTTTTTTTGACATAATATTCATGATTGATGCTGGTTAATGGAAACAGATTTATGATGCGGGGCATATGGTTCCAATGGATCAACCAAAGGCAGCTTTAAGCATGTTAAAGAGGTGGATGAGGGGATCGCTTTCTGAAACTGCATCTGAGACTCAATCTGTTGTTGAATCAGATACAAATAGTTTTATTTAAATAAGCCAAATGATTAAACAAAATAATTCATGGGGTGGGTTTACCTTATTAGTTGGACCCGAATAGGTTTTGGAAAGCCTTACCCATTAATAATTATATATATAAAGGGAGGATTACGACTAGTATGAAATAAACAACATAATCATAAAAAGTTAAAAACCTAATCCTTCCCTCCCACCAAGTTGAAGACTTCAGCACAAGGAAGAAAGAAAAGAAGGTCGAGCAGCTTTGATCAAGTTGACTATGAAGCAGCTGTTTGAATATAGTCATGTGGATACACATAGTGGTAATCAGTTGTGATTGTCATCTCCTACACCAAATGTTTGTACACTTCAAAGGTATAATATAAAAACACACTATGGTTGTGTTTAATTGTCTAATTTGATCCATTTTTGGGTGTGCAAATTTTAAAATAATGTTTCCCGTTGCAATTTCGTTTTTGTTAATTGTTTATAGATTTGATCAAACCTGAACGTCTTCTATATCCATTGTAAATTGAAGTTTTGATTTATGGAATCATCACATATATAATCATTACTAATAACCTTAAATGAAAGCAAATAGAATAAATCTCATTATCGATCTATAAATTCAAAAAGATTGAGTTATGACTATATGTAATTTGCTTTTAGTTTTTTGTTGTCACAAGCTGGGGGACTATATGACAGAGCATGCACAAACAATATGAGATGTGGATCTCTCTCTCCTAGACAACCTTTGCAATCTAATTAGTCTACTAGACTTTGTGGGTGCAATTAGAGACAACATTTAGCTTGGGGGACACTCATGACAATATATTCATTTTGTTAAAAAAACTACTTATTCAGATTTTTTAAATATATTTTCCTGACAATATTTAAGTTTATAGTAAGATGAATTTAGTTAATGCCAGTCACATATTTACTAGGTTAAAGAAACCATTTTATGATATTTCCTCACATTTATCCAAACGAGTGATTGAAAGTAAGATGTTGTAATTTACTAATAATTGAAACTATGTTGCTAATTTTTGAATTTAACCTTTTTTTTTTATCATACATATAGATGGCATATAAACCAAATCATTCATTGCAAACTTCTTAATTGATCATTATATGAATATATATTAGTTGTAGGATGTCAAGTATATGAATATATGTTTTTATGTTGACTTGGATTTTTGGTAAATGATATTAACGCAAGAAGAATGAAAGGAATAGAGTGATGATGACATGGGCATCAACTTATTTGATCAGAACTTGGCACCTTCTCTTGTGCATCAAACTTGTACAGGTAGTGTCTTTGATGACTTCCTTTGATTTGTAAGAAATAAACAAGTTACATTAATAATGAATTTGACGATGTTTACCTTATAACATCAGTATCCCCAAATCCCTTGGAGCATTTTACTCTTAAGGTGATGGATAACTCGATCATTTTTTCTAATTTGGGAACCAAAACTTTATAAAGTTGTTATTAAAATCTAAGCATGTGGTCATTTTTTTTTTCAGGAATCTGAAGTTTCTATTGTTAAGTATATCTCCATTGAGGAGTATAAGTAGGTACTTGCTAAAGAAGATCCTAAGTATGTTTCATACAGTTTAGAGGGGAAATATGGTTAACTTTTTGACGTACTTATAAAAAGGTGTGGAAGCACGGAGTTTGGGTCTTAAAAAAAAGCTCAATTGTTATGCTCATGCTCATATCTGACTTACTGCATAGGTCGTATTCTTACTTTACCTTCATTTTCACTACAGTATAAATTATTTTTTAATATAAATCTTTCTTCTTTGTCCACTGTTGACAGGATTCACTGAGGAGGACAAATAAGCTCTAATTTTACTCATACATGCTGCAAGATTAATGAGCAATATTATCCACCAGGTTTGCTTCATTCTTTTATGGAATATTAGAGGCATTAATTTAGGTAGAAATATCAGTTACTGCTGCAATGAAGCATTTGTTAAGCAGTTTAAAATATTTCATCATGAACTCAAGGATCTTTTTAATGCCAGAAGGTTTTTTATTTGGAGTTTTAGTTATGATAGTTGTTTGTTTTTCAGTGATACCGATACCCACATCATATACCGTAGATAGGAATAGGACACAAGCATACCAAAATTTACAACTTCATGGTTCAAGAGCTTGACGGGACCAACTATACACAAGTGGGTGTTGCAAACAAAATGTATTACATTTCATTATTTTCTGACCAAATCTTCCTTAAACTATATTATCTTCCTTTTGCCAGCTTGGTTCAAATGAATGCTGAGAAGTATATGTATCACAACTTGAAGTCTATAATTTAAAAAAAAAAAAAAAAAAAAGGTCAAGTCACCATCAAAATCATTGAAAAATGCAGGCACTAACACGACATTTTCTTGGTGTTAGATGTTTTCAAACGAATGCAGGAGAAATCCATATAAAAAGAGAAATCCACAACCAATTATTCTTAGGTTTGAACTCTAACACGTGGGTGGTTTTCAAGAATGGAATGACATGGAAGCGACAATTAGTTATGACATCATGATTTTTGAAAATTTGAAATTTGTTAATTGTAGACTTATAGTTGTATTATGTTGTAATGATTTGATAGCCCATTTCCTGAAATGTCTAACATAACAATTAATGTCATTGTGACATGACTCCAGATCTTGCATAATGAGGATCGATCATATCTTAAAGTGCATTGTCATTCCTGGCCCTTTTTTGACACAGTTATTGGGAAAAAAAACATAGTTACCAGAAACGCGGTACGGTACGGGGAACGGGGTACGGTACAGTACGGGGTTCGCGACATATAGTGTATCGGGTACCCGGGGGGGGGGGGGGGGGTAGGCTCATTTCGGTACGAACAGGTACATTGTATTGTATAGTCCGGTACAGTGTTCCTAGTTCTAAGACATTTCATAAAATATATGTATACTACTACTTAACAATTTAACACTTCAAAGTTCAAACATGAAATACTTAATAACAAAAGTACCAATTATCAAAACAGGAACAAAAGAAATACCACAATTACTTCATCATAATACTTAATAACAAAAATATTAAAATACCATAAACTAGTTTATCCGCTGCCTTTTTCCTCTTTCATTCTCCACGCCTTCATCATTAAGGTTCTCCCACACCATTTCCTCTAGACGAGCACTTGAACATTCAATGTGATCACTTTCTGAATTGATGTCCTATTTTTTGTTGGGTCCGGCTTTGTAAGATTCTGAAAACTGGGACAAAAGTCTAATATTAGAGTGAATATACACAAGTTTATCCGCTCTTGGGCCATTTAAACAATTCCTTTTGATGCTATGTATATGAGAGAGTATGTACTCCAATTCCTCTCCGCCGAAGAGCTACTAATCGGCTGCGAGAGGACTCGTTTTGCCACGTCCGTCAAATCCGGAGTCTCCACTCCATATGTTGCCCACCAATCAATCACGTCCATAGTCACCGCATCGGCTTGCGTCCCGACCAATGAATAGATTCCTTTCTTCACGTGAAAGGTTGCAAATTGCTCTCAACTGTTTCTCTTCTTCTTCACTCTCCGAAATTTTTTCAAATGCTTTCAATATTAAGATATAAACCACACCTGTATTTACTTTGTCAATATTTACCATGTCAATATTGTTGTAAATCTCCTTATATTTCTACCATGTATATCTCATATTAGTTAGTCTCCTCTGAACTATTTATACAGCCATATGGCTTCATCAATAAATCAATCAATTCCATTATATCGATTCTTCTCTTCTCTGGCTTTCTCATATGGTATCAGAGCTCGGCTCTCAAGAAAACACACCCATCAATTCTCCTCATTCTTCACCTCCACCCTCACCCAAACGAACTTCAGAGATGGGAGACGGAAACACATCTCTTAACGTCAACACCATTCTCAAAGACATCACGATTGTCAATTTTCCAGCAACCCTAAAATTGACATCCACTAATTATCTTGGGTGGAAAACGCAAATCGAAGCCTTGCTGCATGGTCTTGATCTTTTCCGGTACATCGACGACACTCATCCAACCCCCAAACCAACCACTGCCGCTGACGGCACAGTCACTCCTCACCCCGACTATCAAAAGTGGTTCAGACAAGATCGACTCTTATTCGGTGCCCTAGTTAGAAGTCTTTCTCCACAAATCGTTCCTTTAATCACAAACGCCGCCTCCTCTCTTGAAGCTTGGAAAACCCTAGCGGCTACATATGCTTCTCCCTCCAGATGGCACATCAAACAACTTCCATACCGACTAAAACAAATCACCAAAACTCCAAATCAAACTATTACGGAGTACATGCAGGCAATTAAAACAGTTGTTGATGAACTTGCCATCCTTGGCAAGAAACTCGATCAGGAAGACATAATTGATGTTGTTGTCTGTGGCTTAGATCAAACCACCTACAAACCCATCATGGATGCAATTCATGCACGTGATTCCACAATCTCATTTAATGAGCTTCATGAAAAGCTTATCAATCATGAGCTTACTTTGGCTCAGCAGACTTCAACCACAATAATCCACCAACCTGCATCTGTTTTTTACGCACATCATCAAAATACCAAGAAGCAATGGCCTTCTCGCCAAGACAACAACCCAGCGCTACTTCCAACTCCCACCAAACAAGCATCTCAAGCAACAGGACAACGCCCCTTTTTGGGCAAATGCCAATGGTGTCATCAAAAAGGACATTCGTTGAGCAATTGCTTCACCTTCAAGAAGATATTTCCAACTGCCTCTGTACCTGCTCCTCCTAATCGTTTTATGCAGGTTAACAATGCCCAAGCTCATCTTATGAATCCGTCAGGTGCTCCGAACACAGCAAACTGGATTTTTGATAGTGGAGCAAGCTTTCACGCCACAAATGATTTGAACAACATCTCAATCCACTCTCCATACGATGGCACTGAAGAATTGGTCATTGGTGATGGTCCGTGTTTAAAAATCTCTCATATTGGCTCTCTAATTCTTCACACATCTCACACACCTCTCATTCTTAAAAACGTCTTATATGTGCCATCTTTATCTCGAAATATCATCTCTATCTACCGTTTATGCATTGATAATCACTTTCTCATTGAATTCTATTCTTTTGTTTTTGTCATAAAGGACCTGGAAACCAAAACCCCACTGTTCAAGGGCACAGCGACCAAGGGCATGTATGAACTCAGATCATCCCTGCAGCCCACTGTCTTCACCATGCATCGAACATCTTCCTCCATTTGGCATCATCGATTAGGCCATCCACAGAATAAAGTTTTCCAGCAGTTGTCTACTTCTCTTTCTTTTAGTTCAAATTCATTAGACAATTGTAACTCATGTCGTATTAATAAAAGCCATCGTTTTCCATTTCATACTTCCTCTCTTGTCTCCACCAAACCTCTAGAATTAATTTTTTCAGATGTATGGTGCTCTCCCATTGAATCATTTGATCACTACAAATACTATATCATATTTGTCGATCACTTCACAAAATATATATGGCTTTATCCTATGAAAAAGAAATTTGAATCTCTTCTCATCTTCACACGCTTCCAATCATTAGTTGAAAATTATTTCCAAACCAAAATCAAGCAATTATTCTCTGACAATGGCGGAGAATACATCAAACTCGCAAATCATCTAGCTTCTCATGGCATTTCTCACCTAACTTCTCCTCCGCATACCGTTGAACACAATGGGTATGCTGAACGTCGGCACCGACACATAGTCGAAACCGGCTTAGCTCTCCTCTCTCACTCAAATATTTCGGTCACCTACTGGCCTTTCGCATTCACCACTGCTACATACCTCATCAACCGCATGCCTACTTCAACCCTTCATAATCTTTCACCATTCCGCTGCTTATTTCAAAAAGAACCAAACTACTCAAAATTACGTAGTTTTGGCTGCTTATGTTACCCTTGGCTCAGACCATATTCACCCCACAAACTACATCCTCGTTCAACCCCATGTGTTTTCGTTGGTTACTCCCCAACACAAAGTGCATATTATGCACTCGATCCTGTCTCAACAAAATTATACACTTCCAGGCATGTCGTTTTTATAGAAAATGATTTTCCCTTCCATAAACTTACTACATCTCCTACATCCACTACCCTTATCGATCTTAATCATTGGGTACCCTTAACTATTCCTATCACTCACTCCAACACAGCCCCACCCCCCTGTACAGCCACAAAATCATTCTCCTCCTCCCTCTCCCCCACCAAATAATACTCCACAAAATAATTCTCCCCCTCCATCTCCATCTCCTCCCCCTCCCCCTTCATTCAAAATGAACACACGAACCAACCCAAAACCCAACACCAAATATTACAACTCCAACTTTCAATTATACACAGCCTCTCCCTCTTATCCATCCGAACCTTCCTCCATAACTCAAGCTCTTAAACATCCTTCATGGCGTAAAGCCATGCAAGAAGAGTTTGATGCTCTTGAAAGAAACCAAACATGGTCTCTTGTTCCTTCATCTCAAGCTCCCAATCTTGTTGGCTGTAAATGGGTTTATCGTACAAAATATAAGCCCGATGGTTCTATTGATCGCTTAAAAGCTCGACTAGTAGCCAAAGGTTTCAACCAAAGGCCTGGTATTGATTATAAAGAAACTTTTAGTCCTGTACTTAAACCGGCCACCCTTCGTCTCATCCTTTCTCTTGCTGTCTCTCAA